GCAGCTCCTTCCACCAGTGCTGATTCACTTTTTGATGAAGGTGAATCTTCACAGACTCTAGCTGGTTCATTTAGGAGTTGCAGCATCAGGGTCCTTCGCGTATGAGGATACTAATTTGTAGCAGATCTAGGGATGGCACAAGTAAGGTTCGCAGCCCTTTTTACTTATGACTGGACTTCTCTGAGGAGATGTTTCCTACTTCCCTGGACAAGCTTATTTGTGCTGCGCTGTCAGAACTTGCTAATGCAAATTCTGGCCATACTCAACGTCCTGACTAGTGTTAGCTGTTGATTTGGCAAGTTTCCCTCGTCTTGACGCTGAGTGGTGTGAGCCATTGCTTCAGGCTTTCAGCATTCTGCCCCTGACTCCTTGTCTGTTACACAAGTTGAGCCCTAGCATGACTGTCACTGACAGCCTAGGTGTTTAGGTCTTATGCTCCACCATGTTGAGGTTGCTTGTTTACTTGCAATCTCTTATTGCAGTTGAGAGCTATGGGCTCCCCTATACCACTCTACTGTTTAGAATGGTAACTGTAGTTGAGAGCTATGGGCTCCCCTATACCGCTCTACTGATCGACTGCACTTGGTTCCATGTCTACTAGGGGTAAATACCCGGACCAACATGTCTACTAGGGGTAAATACCCGGACCAACGACTATAGCTCATCGTCTAGGTAGCTCAGCTTTTCAGCATGGTCGATTGCACTATAGTCGGGTGCCAAGTTTTACTGTGGTCATTTGGCGCAATCGAGACCAGCTGACACTCTGAGTTCTTCTCCTGACATCACTGTTTATAGTGCTGGTCATGCGTATAGGAGACCGGGCTGCAACAAAATAGGGCGTCGCCTACGGAACCTCAACTTTTCAGAAGTGGTCGATTGTGCGACAGCCAAGGACCAGGTCTTACCGTGGTTTCTTGATGCAGGTGAGACCAGCTGACACTTTGAGGTTACCTCCTCCTGACCTTGCTGTTCGCAGATTTGATCAGGGGCATAGGTTACCCCGCGAGTCTCTCAGGTTCTCCTCTTCAGGTAAGAGTTTTATCTCACACCCAATTCATCTGCTGGTTCATTATCAGGAAATGAAGTATGGGCGCGGAGGTCCACTCTCCCCGGGGGGGGTAAGTATGTAATAAAGCCTGCAGATTCTCAGTGGACTGTACATTGGGCCGAGGGCGAAGCTCGGGGCTTGCCTCGGTCGGGTCGCGTCTTAGGTTAGATTCGTAATTTTGTTTGGCTGAGGGCTAACCGAGAGACCTATCTGTAAGGAAAATTTGTGAGGGACATATCTGCAAATTCGGGAAAATACAGGCCCGTACTAACTGAATTTCCTACAGCTACCCTAACTGTGAATAGCAGACCCGGGCTACCCCTAGGACAGCTAGGCCCTATAGGCCTAAGCTGATAGAGTCAGATAGACGGTCCTATAGGGTATAGCCGGGTTGGGAGAGGCCCTAGAGGCCGAAACAGAACCGGTACCGGTCGGTCAGTCAGTCCGGTTTAGGTCGAGTCTAGGCTAGTTTAGACTATGGATAGGATGGGTACATCGGTTCAGGGCTTTTGGCAGTTGGTACCGAGTACATCGCTGCTGTGCTACGCGTGAACCGGAAGTGATGACGGCTCAGCGTGGAAGGAGAGGCATGGTCAGACCTTTGGAGCGCCGGCCATAGCTGGGACCTGCGCTGTACTCTGCCGGCACGCAGGGGCTGACAGAGGTCTGGGTTATCGAGGTCTGCTGGAGGCGAGAGAGATTGGTGCCCTGCTGGACCCTCCTCCGGAGTGGGGTTCCAGGGTGTTGGCGCTGCAGCCATAGCTGCAGCCTTCTTCATCAGAGGTCATCTTGTCAGGGTTTGGTGGCGCTGCTGCAGACTCCCACCCGGGAAGTCTTCCAACACTTCGTCATCATCAGATACTGTGGCGCTGGTCTTCTTCTTCATCTTCTGAGTGGCGCTTGGCCTCAGGCCCGTTTCAGGGTGGCGCTGCCCTCAGGAGGCTGTATCTGGGTGGCGCTTGATGTTTCAGGGTCTCAGGGGTGTTACGGGTGTTATTCAGGTTTGGGGAGTGAAGCGCTGCTCATTTATCCTGACAATTCGAGACTCTGAGTTTAATAAACAGTGTATAACTGTGTTTGGACTATCATCATTTCATTGTTTCTTGGATGTGATCTGCTCGGCTTTTCTCTATGACTGGTTGTGGGGATTGAGTGGAGTGAATTGCACTTGCAGTGTACCCTGTCATATCGCATGCTCAAGTCTTCCGCTGTGTTCTCTCTCCCTGTGCGGTGTGATACTCCTATCCTCTCCCCTTTCTTCTATGTATGTATGGGCATACCTGGAAGTCTCTGTGAGTGAGTGTTGGCCTTCAGGCAACAAACAATCAGAATCATAACACACGGGTGAGGGCAAGGTCTAGGGATCGAGCCCTGGGATCTGCGTCTGCTACCGCAAAGGTGAAAACCGTTTCATAACACTCAGAAAAAAGAAAAGAGCCCGGATTTGGGCTCCTCTCGGAGAGCATGGAAAAAACCCACCGCCATTTTTTTTTACTTTTTTTTCCCCCCATGCATGGGTATCCCGGGCCTCATGCCCAGGTGACCGGCTGGTGCAGTCGGTTGGTCATGAAATTCTTCCTAGTCAACAACTGTATTTTATTTATTTATTTTTCACCTAGGCTACCAGCCGGGCTGCCCGGGTCCTGTTTTCCCGGGCGTCCCGGCTGTGCAAGGACCAGAGAAGGTCCCAGCAAAAACAAAAAAAATTATGAAAAAAAAAAATCCAAAAGGAAAACTATGTTATGCAGAAAAATAATTTGAACAACTTTCGCCCCAGGGTCACATCGAAATTCTTTACCAAATTTAAAATAAAATTTAAAATAAAAAATTATATGAGTCGGTGAAACTCCGAGGAAACAGTTTGTCACAGCCCCTCGTTTGTTGTCCTCTTCGTTTTGGCCGGGCCGGGCAAGTTGTCCCAGGTCACTCTGGTAGCCTAGTTTTTTAGTAAATGTTTACATATTTTTTGCCCAAGAAAAAAATATTCCTGGGCCTGCTCAAACCGTGGTGCTCAAATCCTTGAGCCCCGTCTGCGGACTCAATTAGCGCGCAGTTGGAGCCAAACTTGAGTATAATTCCTGGGAGTTATCTTAGGCGGAAGATGGTCGGGCTGCCTCAGGTGGCAGACTTGAGTATAATTCCTGGGAGCTATCTTAGGCGGAAGATGGTCGGGCTGCCTCAGGTGGAATCAACTGCCAGTGCTAGTCCGTCTCTGAGACATGTAAATGCTGACTTGTGGGTTGCAAGTTCAACATTTCATGCTAATGTCCAGACACTACTCCATCCACCACTCCCTTCTTGTTCCCCAGGCCCCTGTCCCTTCCGTCCCATTGTCTCCCTTTGAAAAGAAGGTTGCAAGGCCCATTTCATGTACTTTCTGCTGTGTCCGATTGCTGAAATGGCAAGATGCACTTTCTGCTGTAGGTACCCAGGACCTAGGTATAACTGTCAACCCAGATGTGTTCTGTACACTGGGTCGTACAGACCTGAAGCTGGTGAACCTCTGTGCACTTGGTAGATATTGAGGGTTCAAAACATACATCATGCCCTTGCTTTGCTCCATTTATGGCAGTTTCAAGTTTTCACTTGCAAAAGTTATTCACTAGAACAACCCCACATGTGTCTGCTATGCACATTATGAAGGCACTCGTCTCACTCCCTTAAAAACAAAGAAGAAAGCCACGAAAAATATCGGAAGAACATTATGCTCAGTGCGGTGTTGACCTGAATACTGTGACATAGGTAGGGTTCCTTTTCCGGTTCTTTACTGTGTTCCAAGCTTCCAAGAGTTGGGACATGCGTCGTTGTCAATTCCTCCTCGAGTCTTCAAGTGCATTTTATCCTTTCACAGGCCCAAGTTCGGCTCGTCTTCCTGTCCCTTGTCCTTCCACTATCTTCGTCCTCCTCCCTGCTCTCCTCTCCCCTGGATCGCCACAGGCCATGAAGTGGGAGGAACTGGTTAATGAAGATTTAAAGCGTCATTTAGGTAAATACATATCCCAGCCAGTTGTTTTTCTCTTCTTCGTCCTCTGCCGTTCCATTTCCCTCCCCTGACCTCTTGAGGCTTGGTCTGCCATGTGAAAACACCCCTGTCTTTCAAGGGACACTTACCAACCGTCTTTGAGCCACGCTTCCTGAATGGTTTTCTGGGAACAAGCAGGAGTGGTGAAAGGCGTTGGTCACATGAGACCGGTGGGCGGGGTCCAGCCCAGGTCCTAGGAAGATCTCACACACACCCAGCCAAAAAACAGAAAGAAACAAGTCTGGAAAGCAAATGTTTTGCAGAATTGCAAATCAGAGAACTTTTCTTCTTGTCAAAGGGGGTAGCCTAAAAGTTTGTGGTGTTTATCTGAGCCGGGCTTCTGTTCACTGACATGGCCTGGGTAAATCAAACTTCTGGCTGACAGCCACTTCGAATTGCGCATTAGAATTGAAAATGGAAAAATGAAATAAAGAAATTAAACTACTGTGCACCCTTTTTTCTTCTCGTAAAAGGGGGTAGCCTCAAAGTTTGTTGTGTTTATCTGAGCCAGGGTTCAGGCTCATGTTCTGTTCACTGACATAGCCTGGATAAATCAAACTTCTGGCTGACCCCTTTGGCAGAGTTTTACATTTGTATGTCTCGCTGGGTGGGCGGGGTCTGGTGTGGCTTGCCCTAGCTGCCCGGTTATGTTGGCCCAAGCAGCCATCTCTGCTAGCTTATGCCGGTTACAATGTGCGGCTTCTATGGGTATTGTCTCTCAGTAAAAGGCAAATACGATGACCATCAAGCAGCTTGGGTGAAGGTTGACAAACCGCCACTGATATCTGTTCTTGTGGTTGCATTCCATGGAATTCATACTACACGTTTCTGCTATTATTGTTCAGAAAATTTGAATGTATGTGCCACTCCCACGTGTATTGTTCAAATTTTAACAACACTTTCTGAATATGTTTGTTTCCATAATTCCAGAGCCACTTTGACGAAGAGGATTGCAGCAATTGAGGAGAGGTTAAAAATGGCCACCCCTGATGATGAGCGAAGGCAGTCCCATTACACGGCTGGTGCTGGACTTGGCATGGCTTCACCTTTTGTAAGGAATGGGCCTTGGTCTTCTAATGGGCCTATTAGAGGGGAAGAGAGTGGTGGTGTAGGGAGAGTAGCTGGAGGAGTGGGGACAGGTGGAAATGTGCCTGGTGGATCGAGCTGGCAGTCACAGGGCTTTTCAAAGAAGCTGGCAGATGCATCAACATCACCGGTACCCCCACCTCCTGTTCCTCCTTCCCCACCCGCAATTCCACCATTTCCACCTCCAACACCGCCATCAAGTGGATATGGTTGGGATGGTGGCGGATTTGCCGGGCCAGCGGGCCGGCCAGATTATGGAGGGGGAGAGACGTATAGGGGTCCTGAGGTGCAAAGGGGAGAGGACGGCAGGCGGAAATTCATTGATGTTACATATCACGAGGGCAATGTCAGCAAGGAGTGGAGCCGTGACTTCTCTTGGTCAACAGAAATTCAGGTGGGTTATGTCGGACCTTTCATTTTCTATTCTGGAAAAAAAGGGATCCTGATAGCTTCTTTTTCCGTTGATTTTGAAGATCATCTGCTTTCATGCCTTCTTGGTGGTATCCAAAGTGGTTGCATATGATAAAGGTAAGATTGTGGGTGGAATACCAAGATTGTGGGTACTGAATTCTGCTCATGCAATCATCCCTCAAAGAGTCTGAGGGCCTGTTCACACTAGGGACATGACTGGTTGTGAAGGAGCGAAATGAAGGCCAGATTCAGTTAAAAGAGTTGTAGTGTGAGTGGCATTCATGCTCTCCTTATTTGGACTGCCTTTTACAAGGAATTTCAAGATGTTCTTTTGCTGATTGTCCTTTCCGGTATCCTGTGACATGGCTGATCTGAATGCTGAAGTCCTCACTTCCTTGTAAGCAATGTGAACCGGTGGGCTGAAAAATTAACCATTTGTAGCGAAACCATACTGTATGTATGGATATCTCTTTTCTGGTGCTGCTGTTTGTTTTACACCCTGCTAGAAGGGACTGTTGTGTTCCCGTTGGATCCAGTTCTGGTAGAGAATGGGAAATGCAAAGGCAAATTGTTTTCTTTTTCGGGTTCATGGCAAGAGGAGAAAGCGTTTTTAAAACTTTTGCAACAATATTGAGGGTGCCAATGCAACTGTGCAAAGCTTAAGTTGCGGTTTGTGCGATCTGCCATGCGGGTGTCTCCTTCCTTGTGCTAGGTTCTCATCTGAAAGCAGTTCAAAGCTTTAACTCAAGCCAAACCTATTCAGCCTATGTTCATCTTGAAGTGGACATTAAATTCGCATATACTGCCATGGCTAATCAGATACTGTTCGGCACATGAACAACACTAACGACCTGTTAGCAACTTAGCTCATAGCTGCATGGCATTGTCMCACCTTTTGGTCTTGTTGGATACAAAACCAGCAACTGACCACCCAACCAAACCAATTGAAGCAACCGAAGACAAGCCACACTGACCCAAGTGAAATCAAACAGGTCGAAACAACCCAAACGGTATTCACCAGTTAGCAGTAGCTGCTGCAGGTCCCAGGGTTCGATCCCTAGACCCCAACCTTACCTGTGTACAGTACCTGTGTTGACCCGTAGAATTGAACCCGCAACCTGTGTATTTGTAATAGCTGATAGGTTGTCGTAGGGTCCATAGGTAGCATGGGTTCGATCTGTAGACCTGTCGGATAGGAGTCTTAGTCAGGTCTAGACATCGTAGCTGTAGTTTTCAAGGTTTGTAGCTGCTACAGTCCAGAAGGGTCAGAATCGTAGCTGCGACAGTCACGAAAGGCCAAGTCTACGGCCTTCCGGAAGGTCCCAGTAGTGGCCTTTCGGAGTTGCCCACGTTTAAGCAGAGGCAAGTGGTCAAGTGGTGAGGCAAGTGGGCAAGTGGTAGAAGTCCACCCTGCTGAGTCAACAGTCCCAGTCCCCAGTCAGTCCAGCAAGTTCCGCACGGGACTGTCTGCACTTCGGGCAAGGGAAATGGGCCAGACCAACGACCTGCAGAAGTATAAATCAAGAGGCAGCGCCCAGCCATTCATTCATTCCTGCGTGAGCCATGCGGAAGCGCTGCCACAGCGACTTGTGCAAGGAGGTCTGCGGATGATCCCGGAGGACACAGTGGGCAAGAGAGGAGGAGTTAGTATAGCAATAGGTTAGAGGAAGCCATAGCTGCCATAGCTGTAGTAAGTAGGAAGTCTGTGTGTGTGTTCGAGTGTTCAGGGTGACGTGTATGGGATATCCAGGGTGATCCGGCGTGTGTAAACAGTGAGTTGTTGGGCGCTGAAGTCGCCATAGCCAGTCAAGAGTGAACTCGTATCTGGAGGCCATATCTCTGAGTTTTGGTGTGGGCGCATGTCGCCAGTTTGCTGCGTTGTTGTTTACATGTTTGAAAAGTGTGTTTGAGAACGAGTCTGATTGCAAAGAGGAGAAAGCGTTTTTAAAACTTTTGCAACAATATTGAGGGTGCCAATGCAACTGTGCAAAGCTTAAGTTGCGGTTTGTGCGATCTGCCATGTGGGTGTCTCCTTCCTTGTGCTAGGTTCTCATCTGAAAGCAGTTCAAAGCTTTAACTCAAGCCAAACCTATTCAGCCTATGTTCATCTTGAAGTGGACATTAAATTCGCATATACTGCCATGGCTAATCAGATACTGTTCGGCACATGAACAACACTAACGACCTGTTAGCAACTTAGCTCATAGCTGCATGGCATTGTCCCACCTTTTGGTCTTGTTGGATACAAAACCAGCAACTGACCACCCAACCAAACCAATTGAAGCAACCCAAGCCAAGCCACACTGACCCAAGTGAAATCAAACAGGTCGAAACTACCCAAAGAAGGTCAAACCAACCCGAATCCACACAGCCAGCCCAAAACAGCCCAAAGCAGCCCAAACCAGCCCGAACCAGCCCAAACCAGCCCAAGCCAGGCCGAACCAGCACAAACCACCCCAAGCCAGCCCGGACCAGCCGAAACCAGAGCAACTGAACGAAGCCAAAACGTTACGAAACACTACAGGATGGAGGAAACCCAAACTGACACTGAGACAAAATGAAGCAAAACCAAACCACCAAGTCACCAACCCGTCGGCCAAGCGGCGCACTGCCCCAGCACCAAGCCACCCACCTCAATGAACCCTGTGGAAGCCAAACCAAACGAAACGGAGCATCAGCAAGAAAAAAATCAACAAATGAGCTAATTAACAAACAAGCAAATCAACAGAAAAGCAACACACGAAACAACATCCAAAGTTGCCCTTGGTCTGAATCTAGGTCAATTTGTTTTGACTGGCCACAAGGCTACATCGTGAATGATCACACAGTCACTGCAATTCGCGTTGTTACTGATTCTGTTTCCCCCTCCCCACTTAAAATACGACCTCGTGGTCTTCCCATTCTATTCTGCGGGTTGTCAGTTTGGTTCCTATTCGACCGGCAAGTCAGTCAGGAAAATACAAGGACACCCACTTGATGCTACCCCCTCATTACAGCCAGAGGAGAAACCTCAGCTACAATTGATTCTTCCATGAGAAAGGATTGACTGTCAGATACGACCATCCACTTGAATCAACCCCCCTTGCGCACGTAGAAGCAAAGTCTGACCTGTTCCTTTCACTCTGTGGTTGCCTGGAACACTTCTAATACTCTGTATATCTATATTTTCTCCATCACATTCGGCTTGGGCTTCCCTGGCTGTCCATTTGTGACTTGTCATCTCCCCCAAGCAACATGCGTCCTGGGGAAAAAACAGGCCGTGAAGTTTTGCCGGACTAGGTCTGGCATCCCAGTCTCTGCTCCAACTCCCCGCAGATCAGCCCTTGGTAAGGCTTGGTTTCTGTACATTGTTGAAGGTTGTGGCTTTATTTCTCCTTCTACAGTTTCTAGCATAACTGTGCCTCTTATATCTCTAAATTGCCTTACAGCACTTGCAGGAGTTGTTTCAGAGGCCGAATCCTGCTGCCTTCCCCCTTGTAAATTGGACTACCCGTAGTGCTCAAAATTGCTCAAATGCTGGTGACATGTGTTGCTTCTACAGATCATGAATTGGAAGCATTTTGGTAACAGGTCGTTCAGACCGAACCAGCGTGAGGTGATCAATGCAACAATGAGTGGGAGAGACTGCTTTGTCTTGATGCCAACAGGTGGAGGAAAGAGCCTTACCTATCAGGTTTGCCCTCATCTGCTCCTTCTATTTCAACTCAGATGTATTGCGTATACAAAGTATTACAAACTGTTTAACTCCGCACTGCTGTTTTTCAAAACTCTATTGTCACTCGACCCCTATTGCCCTCAGCTAGAGATTAGTGTGTCTGAATCATCACTGGAAGTGCCACGTCTGAACTGAAATCAGTATTACAATTCCAGTCATTTCTTCTGCCTTTCTTTCAATTATGTCTCCTTGCATTTTTTGAGCAATTTTCTGACATTGTGCCTTTTATTTTGTGGCCAGAGTGTCATCTGAACACCTCTTGGTTCGTAGTTGTGCCTAATATCACACTTTCCACCTTGATGCTGTGAAAGGGTATAGATGCATGCTACTCTGTCCTCAGAGCGACGGTCAGAGTGCACCAATAGAAGGTGGGCTGTGCGTAATCCACTCTCAGGCATAGTGCCATCTGCAGACCCACTTGCATTCTATACTAACACGTCTGTAAAGTCAAAGTCCAATGGAACTTCAACCAACAGGATTCAAACTTGTAACGTTCCTCAAACAAAGTGGATGACTTGCCTAATAAATAAATTACTTGAGCTGGGATGAAGTTAAGTGCCTTGTAGAACACTGCATCCCAGCAATCCACTGCGGGATGGATTGTTGTGCTGCGTTTGACCAAAACCCAGAGCACAATAACACAGTTGGAGGATGGAGAGTGCAGACTCAGGAAATTCTGATAAGAGGAGGTGAAGTCAAAAGCTAAAAATTCCTGTCTTGCGTGCTTGTCCTGTGGCTCCTCAAACCCCACCTATAGTCATAGAGTTACCACAGTCTTGCTCTAGGGAATCTCTCTTAGCCTTGGCAAGTTGCTCTGCAAGCAAGTAGCCGTTGGTTTTGGTCTGCTTGATGTCTGCGAACACATAGTTTCAGTCTTGGCGAGTTTTTGTCCCAGTGCTTCAATGCGTTTGTTTGTCCACAGATTATCAACTTCTGGAACGGTGCCATAAAAGAAATGAAAAGTGGCAAGGAAGGCAGAAGAAACAAAAATAAAAGATAGGTCCAACTGTATTGAAAAAGTTTCTTTAAAATGGAGTCATATGAACTTATACGGAAATTAGCGTGATGGTGGAGAGGGATCGGATCAGAAGATGGCACCTACCAGCGCAGCAAGGTCTTGTTGCAGACTCACACACGAAACGGCAAGGGATTGTCAGTTTCCTATTCCATGGCTTGGCTAGTGGAACAGGAACTGGAGTGCTGGTACCCGGAATGGAAAGGAGCCTTAACTATCACGTTGTCTTTTTTTTAATTGAGAAGAAGGAATGGGCGTGAACCCCATGACTCACCATTCCAATTTCTTTGTCCTGTGATATGCAGGTGCCTGCAGCTTGCAATTCGGGCGTTACCCTGGTGGTGTCACCTCTTGTTTCGTTGATTCGTGATCAGATTATGCATCTGGAGGAGGTGGGTGATGATGGAGTGTGATTTTCTCCATTCTTTCCCCCCAGAAAATGGGAATATGCTTTCCATTGTTGCTGTCTACAGAATTTGGAGTTTGAAAATTGAAAGTTGGAACTCAATCTATGGACCGATTAACATTGGAACGATACAGAGTGAAAGACATTTTCACGTCGCTGACCCCAAGTTCGAGTCACAGGGTCCAGGTCCCCAAGTCAAAAGAGACCGAGAAGGCCGAAACAGAAAAAGTGTCAAGTCGGCTACCCCGCAGGCCACAAGGTGAAAATTGAACAGGTACTGGGCCTCAAAGTCCAGTCCCACAGTCAAAGTGCAGCAGCGCACCAAGAAAAGTTTGGGAGGTAGAGGGCCTCAGTATTCCGAAAGCAAAGAGGTGACCGGTACCAGTGAAGTCAGGCCCAGACCAAGTCAAGCAGAGGTCAGTGAAGTAAAGGCCCAATCCAAATCAATAAGAAGACTGGCCCAGCCTCATTCGAGGAGATTGCTCATTCGCAAGAAGGTGGAAGCACTATTGGTGCTTGTGCGCTGTCGCGAGTGGCTGAGCGCTAAGGAGCCCTGCTGGGCAGTGCTGTGCTGTGGCAGTGCTGTGGCAGACAGGCGGCCATGGCCGCACAGTAGTAGTAGTAGTAGTAGAGCATGAGTAGGAGGCGGATGTATCCAGGGTTGTGATCCTCATAGTAGCAGAGACTGAGAGTGTACAAGAGAGAGGGAGAGTGAGAGGGAGTGAGGCAGCGAGGTTGTGTGACACAAGCCAAGAGAGAGAGAGTTCAGTGTTGCATACTTGATTGAGGTTGCTGGGGAGTACGAATCTGGTAGTGGTGTTGGTGCTTGTGTGCTGCCGCGAGTGGCTGAGCGCTAAGGAGCCCTGCTGGCAGTGCCGTGCTGTGGCAGACAGGCCGCCATGGCCGCACAGTAGTAGTAGTAGAGCATGAGTAGGAGGTGCATGTATCCAAGGTTGCGATCCTCATAGTAGCAGAGACTGAGAGTGTACAAGAGAGAGGGAGAGAGAGGGGGAGTGAGGCAGCAAGGTTGTGTGACACAAGCCAAGAGCGAGAGAGTTCAGTGTTACATACTTGATTGAGGTTGCTGGGGGCTCCGAATTTGTAATTATATGATGTTGCGCTGATGAGCGCTTGGTGACTCGAACTCTGGCTTTGTATAATACGATCGATCATTCATTGAATTTTCTGAGCTGCGCTAATCTGGTCTCTCCATCTCTGGACTTCGGTGTGGATTTTGGTGTGAACTCGCACTATGCATATGCTTGGAGTGTCAAAACAAGTGGTTCATTGCAATTGGTATCAGAGCTGGAACCTGCTGCATCTGTTTGTGGGCCGCTGGCAGGCATAAGGCCTGCAAGAAGTGAGATGGGGTTTGACCTAGAGAAGAAGGCCGAAGTAGAAGTGGCCTGTTGTGGGGGGAAAGTGAGAACACGTACCTGCATGTAAGCAGCGGCATCGTGGAGCATTCAGGAGGGAACATTCGCTAGTGAAGTGCCTCAACCCCAACAGCCCTGTGAACGCTGTTGTTGATTTTTTTGAGAGCTCGAGTACCTTCCCACATCTTGGTGACGCTGCTGCTGGAAACATCTGTTGACGTCATATTTTGCAATTGTTTGAGTCAGCATCTGGTCTGCACGAGTTTGTGAGTCAGTTTTGAGGACGCACACTCTCCTGGAGGAAAGGCTCCTTCCCTCGTGGGGAAGTGCTGGTGGTTGCCGGCCTTCCTGGGGGCATGTGTACCCAGTGGTCGAGTCTAGGGTAGAGTCTCGGCAGCTGGATGAATCAACCGTTAAGTAGAGAGCATGGGCATGAGTGGCGAGCGCTCGTAAAACAACTCGTCTAGCCCTAAGACCAGTACTGACCGGCCGTCGCCGTATGGCACACCGGTCCGACTTACACATGTGTATAGACTATAGGGGATCCCATGCCGGTGAAGAACACTGAGCCGTTGCGGAGAATAGAGGACCTATTGGATAGGGTGCAGGGTTGCAAGTAGTCTTCAAAGATTGATTTGCAGTCGGGATACCATCAGATAGAGGTACAGCCCGAAGATCAGCATAAGACGGTCTTTGGGACGCGATACGACCACTATGAATTTGTGGTCATGGCGTTTGGTCTTGCGAATGCCCCTGCGACTTTCCAACACTGCATGAACGATCTATTACGTTAATGGTTGGATATATTCATAGTTGTTTATTTGGATGGCATTTTGATCTTCAGCAAGACTCTAGAAGAACATCAGCAGCACCTTCGGCTACTTCTAGGAAAGCTGCGTGACACTTAACTTTAAGCTGAACCCGAAGAAGTGTCAATGGGCCAAGCGACAGGTGTTGTATTTGGGACACGTGCTGGATGGAGATGGGATTAGACCTGTAGATGCAAAAATAGCAGCAATTAGAGACTGGCCGACTCCTCATACGCTCATTGAACTGCGTTCGTTCCTGGGTCTGGCCAATTATTATCCGCAGTTCGTACGGAACATCACTGTCATTGCTGCATCATTGCGTAGGCTGCTAAGGAAGGAGACAGTCTGGAAATAGGACAAGGAGTGTACCTCAGCCTTCAAAAGACTGAAGAAATGCCTAATAAAGTAACCAGTCCTGAACATAGCCGACCTATCCTTGTTGTTATAGTTACCACTGAGGATAGGCAGTATGGGATTGGCGCTGTACTCCAACAAAATGATGGTGAGGGGTATAGGCCTGTGGAGTTTGTCTTCTAGACTTGTTAGTGAGAGAGTCGCAGCCTCAGCGTATGAACGTGAGAGGCATTGAATCACTGGCGACACTACCTCCTATAGGACAACACTTCAAAGTACACTCTGACCATGAGACATTCGCTGGTTGAAAACTCAGGCCCGTATGTCGCCAAAGTTGACTAGGTGGGCAGGTGAGATTGACCAATTTGATTTCGAGTTAAAAGCAGTACAGGGGAAGTATAACGTCGTCTCTGATGCTTTGAGTAGGCGAGCAGATTTCTTTGGTGCCATAGTGACTTACCTTGATGCTGGTGCCGATCTCCAAGAGAAGATTAGGACTGCCTACGCTAATGACCCAGTCTCCAGTAAGCTGATTGGCAAGGTATGGACAGCACCACACAAAGTTCCTTACTACAGAGTGACTCAGGGATTGTTGTTTGAGAGAACTGACGTACTTGATAGACTGTGTATCCCGAACAACGGAGAAGTTTGCAGTCTAATCCTAGGGGAATGTCATGACAACAAGGGACATTTTGGGTTGGAATGAAGCATGATTGTATAGCCTACGTTCAAGGCTGCAAGGTATGTCCAAGGAACAAGAGTTCCACGCAGCCTCCCCTTGGACTGCTGAAACCTCTTAAGTATCCCATCAGGTCCTGGAGACTCCGTGACTATAGACTTCATGGATACCGAAGTCAGAAGTGATGGTGATTGTAGATAGATTTACTAAATTTGCTGTTTCTGTACCACTCCCTGCAGAAGCGGAGAATGGCTTGGTGATTAGGGAGATCTTCAATCATTGGGTAAAAGACTACGGGCATCCCCTGACCATTGTAAGCGATAGGGACACGGTTTACAAGCGAGCACGAGATCTTCAATCGTTGGGTAAAAGACTACGGGCATCCCCTGACCATTGTAAGCGATAGGGACACACGGTTTACAAGCGAGCACTGGCAACAACTGATGAATGTTTACGGATCTAAACTGACTGTGTCGACATGCAGAGTATAACAAATGTCCTACACCTTTTAATCCAGACTTGTCACCAGTCCATAGAGTGGACACCAAATACACCAGCAGCACAGAGAAAACGTAAAAAAATGGATCAAAGGGGCCTAAAACCCCAAGGCAAAAGTCTGTTGCATGCAAAATTTGCTCTTTTCAGTTTTTCAGGCTTTTCAGGGCTGCCAAAAAAAGTCATCTCCAAGACCCCAACAAACACCAAACTTGGCACAAGCAGAGTTTGACCAAAACTAAAACAGGGCAAAGAAAATAAAACTCAAAACAAATTCCCCTGATGCACTTTTCACCTGGGTTAGGCCGATGCCCGTTCCAGACGGACCAGGGGGGGTTCGTCCGGCAAAACCAGACAAGCCAGAAAAACATCCCGGGATTTTTTTGTTTTTTTTTCTGAAGATGGGATTGGACTGCGCTCGCTGAGAGGAGCCCAAATCCGCAGCGAAACTTGTGAAAGGCATGTGTGTGTGGGGGGGGGTGGGCGTTGACAAGGGGGTAAAAAGGTGTGTTGCAGCAGCCAGT